TGGAGAGGATCACAGTGTAAAAGTGACAGGTCAGGCTGTGTTTGTCCTTGCTGCTTATGTGCAGCCAGTGGGAAAAACAAGGGCAGCTACAACTACAGTATCTGAGGCTTAAAGAGGTGACATATTGTGCATTTCTAAAGGAATTTTTGTGTTACAGAGAAGCTTTATCTGTCTCTCTGACACATTAGACGGGTGTGGTGTAAGGCACAAAGGAAGACGGTCCCCAGGTGACTGCAGGATTGTTTTAGAAAAATAATAATTAAAGTTAACTTTATTGAGAGTCATTTTTGTAGCATCAGGTTTACTGAATCAAGCACCACTCTGTGTGTGTGTGTGTGTGTGTGTGTGTGTGTGTGTATGTATGTGTGTGAAGATCATGGCTGCAACAGGACTATGCTGTGTAGCTTGGAGAACCACTTTCAGTTACATCAGTGATGGTGCTGCTTATCTTCTGGCCCTTAGGAAATGCTGCATCTTAGTAACATGATTAAAATCCAGGGCTGTGGAATCTGTAAGCTCACCCCTTTGGAGGGCAGGGCTGTAGAAATATACATAGGGGCCAGTGCAGTGGCTCATGCTTATAATTTTAGCACTTTAGGAGGCCAAGGTGGGCGGATCGCTTGAGCTTAGGAGTTCGAGACCAGCCTGGGCAACATAATGAAATCCTGTCTCTACAAAAAAATACAAAAGTTGGTCTGGTGTGGTGGAGCAAGCCTGTAGTCCCATAAGCTACCACAGTCCCATGCTACTTGGGGAGCTAAGGCAGGAGGATCGCTTGAACCTGAGAGGTTGAGGCTGCAGTGAGCTGAGTTCATGCCACTGCACTCCAGCCTGGGTGATAAAGTGAGACCCTGTCTCAAAAAAATAAAAAAAGAAGGAAATATAGGTAGGGCTTAGGATGTCGTGTCAGGGCCACTGACAAGACTCTCTTCAGAACCTAGTTGATATCAACCATGCATATACAATCCCAAACAGCCAAAAAGATCTTCCAGAATTGTTTGGAATGGCATACTTCTTTAAATGGGTAAGTATAGTTTAATTCTGGAAACATTTAGAATTAAACATAGAAAATGTTGATAGAATTAAAGCCATAGTGTTAATGTTTTTGATTTAAAGGATTTATGTATATTTGATATTTCAAGTAATTAAAAAAAATAATTTGGCCTAGGTAACAGATCAGCCTGTATTTCCAAATTAAAATGTACAATGAATTAGCTGATTTAGACATTTGATTTGGGGGAAGGTTGAAATTGTACTAGTTTTATAAGCAATATTTTAGTGCATTTAAGAGAATTTATTAGGTTTCTAAGACTTGTTTCAGGGAAGATTTTATAATTTAAAGCAGGTAGTTCTAATATTTAAAAGAAATAATTGCTATTCATGGCTTGAAATATAGATGAAAGAAAGAACATGGGTTTTTGAAAAGCAAGGACATGACAGTTAAGACGAGCTTTTAATGAAATAATGACTGCAGCATAATGCCCAGGCCACAGTACTCAGTAAGGACCTGTTGAAGTCATAATTTTTAGAAGTCACTGAACAACAGGATACATTCTGAGAAATACATCATCAGGTGATTCTAGTCATTGTTAGAAAATCATCAAGTGTGCTTATGTAAACCTAGATGGAATAGCCAACTACACACCCAGGCTGCAAACCTGTGTGGTGTTACCGTACTGAATACTGTAGGCCATTGTAACACAATGGTAAGTATTTGAGTATCTAAACATAGAAAAGATACAGTACAAACATGCCGTTATAATTTTATGGGACCACCATCATGTATGCAGCTCATTGTTGACCAAAATGTCATTATGTGGTATATGATTGTACTTCAGTCAAAGTATGAGTTGACACTGTTTAACTTTAAGGGGTGCCATTTGTATAGGCTGTGGTACAGAGTCAAATAGGGCTGTCTTGGATATTGATTTTATTCTTTCAACCCCAAGTGCTGCAAGAAATTGAAAATTAGTTCTATAGGTTTTGTGTCACACCCATCAAGCTATTCTGTCTGTTTTCCCAGAAAATAAGCAAGTTTGAGGGTAGGCGACATTTTTGTCATCTGGACAAAGTTCAGACGAAATTGTATGTAATACAGAGCAGTGGATCTATTTCACCTTGGCCACTCAAATAGCCCTGAACAGGATGCACAGTGAGGCCCCAGGCTAGAGGATGCTTGGCTTGTCTGCAGACATTGTCATTTAGCTCTGGCTTCTAGTAATTAGGTACTCCTAGCTGGGCTCTGCTGTCAGCAAGCCTTCGAGACAAATTGCAAAATCTGTACAACCATCTGAGAGATGGAGAAGTAGATGCAATGACACTACAGGGGATATTGGTAGTTCTCAAAAGTTTGAAAGAGAATGCTTGGAAAAGCAATCCTCAAAACTGAATTTAGAGGTCCTTTTCCTGTGGTAAAAGGGTTCAGTCACAGAAGCAGGATCTGAGAAGATCTTGCAGGCAGGAATGATAGACTGAATCTAAGGGGATGAAATGGAGTAGAAAAAATGTAAGGTTCTGTTTTGAGGTCTGAAAATCTCAGCTATGCATTAAAAAGACTGGAAACAGGGGTAGGGACTCTCCAAAGAGGAACCCATATGAAAAAGATCTAGGAGTTTAAGTTGCCATATATTGATAATTTATTGTGCTCCTTAAAAATTTAATGCAGTGTTTGGCTGCGTTAACAGAGGTAGAGTATTTAGGATGAGAGAGGTAATAAACTCACTCTGATGCTGTAGCAGGAGCACTGCCACACTTCTGGACTTCAAGCTTTGAAAGGAAAACAGACAAAGGATGGTCACAGGATGGTGTGTGGGAGTGTTCCAAAGCTTGTCAGATAACAAAGGAACACAGAAGGTTTAGCTTGTGTACAACTCTAGGAGGACCTGAGAGCTGCCGGTAATATCTGAAAGGCAGTTATATAAATAGAGGACTGGACTTCTTGTTAAGAGGAACAGGAAGGATCTGGGATGAAAGTTAAAGCAGACCCCCCAAAGAAGAAGGGTCTTCTTATTCGTAAATATGTTCTAAGATAGAATGGGCTACTTCCTCAATTTTACAAGTGCTGACTTAGGCTTATAAGGACTTAGACTTTCAGGAATGGGAATGGATGACCCAGGGATACTTTCTAGCCCCAAGATTTCATGATTCCTTTGCCTTCCAGTGATGACCATGTCTTGCACAGTCCCAATACTGGCAGGTGGTGGACAGAGCCATGACTATAGGACATTCTAGGCAGTGATGAGAGAGTCTTTGGAATTCTCAGACAAGATTTCCCTAAGGACATTTTGATGTTGGTCTTCAGTGTTTCCAGTTCTTTAGTCTGCTAGGGAAGATCTGGGGGATATGGTCACTTCCTTTCAGCAGAGGCTGTGTTATTTCCTTATTCATTCTTTTCTCTGTGCCCAGCGGTGTGCTAGGTGCTAGGGGTACTTTGAGGAAGAAGACAGAGTTCTTCCCCTCTTCAAGTATGCAGTATACCTGGGAAGAAGTGAGGCAGCAAACACAAATTTTACAACCAGCTATAAAGTTATAAATACTGTTACAGTTTGGGTACATCCTAGGAAGGAGAAGTGCAGTTTTTGCCACCATGGGGGTGTGGAGCAAGACAACCAAACCTAGTTGGGCAATTAGAAAAGACTTCCCCAAGGAAGTGACATCCAAGTGAGGCCTTGAAGGAGAAGTAGCATTTAGCACAATTGTCTCAGGCTGGTAAAGCACTTGAGTGAATGCCACAGCAGCGGGCTTCAGACTTGTTCTTGACCAAAGGAATTTTTCACAAGGATGGAGCTGAGCTGATACAAAACCAGCCAACAGTAGTGCTATGAAATGGTGGTTTTCTGTTTACTGTATAGAGTATATAGAAATAATTTCAGTTCCTGGTATTTAGAGCAAGTTGAAGTCGTAAATAGGAGCTGCTCAGAAGAACCCATGTCTTGTATGAGTGATTTTTATTTCACGTGGTATCTTGGTAATACATTTCTCTGCTTAGCTTCTGGGTATATTTTTTCCTATTATATTATGGTTTTCTGAAGTCAGGTTATCTAAGACTTCTCAGTTTCCTTGTGGGTACGGATAAAAGGTTTTTGTTTATACTTTTGGGCATCGTTCTTTCCCCAGAAGGTTATGTAACTTGGAGGAGATGGAGTCATTTTTTCACTGACTACCTTTAGGGAATGTCTGCTTTCGTACGGTTAGCTTCTTGTCATTGTAGGGCTTCCATGGCCACAGCAGCTCATTCATTCTCTTGTGACTGTGATTCTAGCCGGAGTTAACTATGAGTAGAAACTTGAATGAGAAGGAAAATGAATATGAACGTGAATATGAAAAATCAAAGACTAGAAGAGAACTGGGTTTATTCCCAGACTAATCCTTGTTTGTATTTGTTGCTTATTTGAGTGAGCCACCACCCATTTCGGTATCAGCATACAAACAGATAAAAAGGCACATCTTAAAAAGATAAATTTCGGCTGGGCGTGGTGGCTCACGCCTATAATCCCAGCACTTAAGGAGGCCGAGGTGGGCAGATCACGTGAGGCCGGGAGTTCGAGACCAGCCTGACCAACATGGAGACACCCCGTCTCTACTAAAAATACAAAATTAGCCAGGCACGGATTACATGCCTGTAATTCCAGCTACTCAGGAGGCTGAGACAGGAGAATCACTTGAACCTGGGAGGCGGAGGTTGCCGTGAGCCAAGATCGTGCCATTGCACTCCATCCTGGGTGACAAGAGTGAAACTCCGTCTTAAAAGAAAAAAAAAAAGAAAATATAAATTTCTATTCTCAGATGCTGGTCTAAGTTTAAATTTAAATGCCTTTCATCTTAATTTTTCCTGGTAAACATTTTTGCAGACAATTGTGCTGTTTTATTTTTCTAGCATTAGTAAACACATAGTTGTAATTTTAAAATTCTTGATTCTGAATTCTGTTTCTTGCTTTCAGGGGCTTTGTTGGTTTGGCTTTTTGGTAACCCACCTCATGGTAAATTCTTCTATCTTTCAGGTAGGAATGAATTGATAGCCAGATACATCAAACTCAGGACAGGCAAGACGAGGACCAGAAAACAGGTAAAATAACCCACCTGGAAATTGTGCATGTCAGCGAATGGCCCACAAAGGCATTTTGGCTGCAGTGGCTGGCTATGCTTTGGCTCCTAGGAGCCCCCAGTTTGAGTTCCCTGTAAGGACGTCAGTGTTGGAGGTATTTTAAATTGGCTCAGTTTTCACTGTTCATCATTTCAGTGACCCTTTATTATGTGGTCTTACAAGTTCCTTTTATACTCATGTGGGAAAGTGTCACTGCTAAGGACAGTGTATGAACTGCTCCTGTGTGGTATTTCAAAGCTAACATTTCTTTCCCAAAATGTGTGCCTGCGAACATTGCAAAAACTGCAGGTGCAAATGCACTTGCAGGTCATGAAATTTTGAGATTTTGTGCATTGTAAAATCCTGGAACGATTATATATTAGTCATAATTTCAATGAAAAAGTAACACCAGCAGCCTTGAGTACTGGCCTTAATGTAATGCTAAATGATGTGAGTCCAGGGAACTGTTGCTTTTTAAGCGATGGCTTTTTGTCAGTAGCTGCTGTGACTGAAATGAAGTTACAACTTCAATACCTCTGTGCAGAGCAGTATCGGGAATTCTCTGCCCTTTGTCAGAGTTCTGCCTTCCCTCGTTCTTTCAGATGTAAAACAGCCCAAATCTCTGACATGAGCCAGTTTAGAATTGGAACGGATGAGAAATTAGTGTTTAAAACCAAAAAAAGAAAAGAGGGGGGAAAAAACCCAAAAACCTCATGGGTGAGTTGTTAACAGAAAATAATTATTTTTTAATGTTGATTTATGCTGAATGATACGGCATGAACCTTAAAAACTGTAATCAGACCAAAAAGCCAGCTAAACTGTGGTCTCATTAAGATTGAGCAGCAGATTTCAGTTCTCTTCCCAGTGAGGAATTGTTTTCGTGAGTGTTTATAACGGGGAGAGGCTCTTCCCCAGGAATGCTACTTGTGCCACAGCCTGGGAGCCTGGCTGCTGAGTCAGCACAAAGAGAAGTGGCCTCCTGCCAGCGCACAGAGGCAGCGCATTGTCTGTTTGGGGGATGCTAGTGGCCCTCATCAAGTCAGAGAATCACAGAAGAACAAAATTCGGGTGAAAACAAGTAACAGCAGGAGCCAGATGGAGGGGTGAAGAGGATGGGGGAGTTTCTGCTTCTCTGTACTTAAAAAAAGAAAAGTACCAAAGCAAATTGGAAAAAAAAAAATTGAATAATTTAAGCTCAAAGACAAAGTTAAAGATAAAAGGACCGTTTATTATAAATCCTGTTTTAGAGCCGCTGGAGAGTTGGAAATGGGGTAATCACCACACAGTCTGAGTTGCTGAACTTTTAAATGGAAGGTTCTAAATTTCAGAAACCAGTGGATCTAATCACCTATATACTGACAGTGCGGGACCTGGGCTGTCTGCTGGTCTGTGAGCTCTGGTCATTTGCCCGGTGACCCTTCACTGAGGGACTCTTCTAAATTTAACCAAGTCCCACTGAAAGAGATGCAAATTTCAGTGGAATCATTGTGTTTCAGAAGCTGGGCTTGGCTACATTTCCACGCCCCGGCGTCCTGGGGATGTTTTTAGGCAGCAGTTGGTGATACCTCTCCAATGTGAATTTGTTGTTCAGCAAATCCATGTGGTTTTCAACCCAGATTTTTAACAGGATGGCTGGCTGGCTGTATTCACACATTTCGCTTTGTAACAATATGCAAATCCACTTGGCGCCCAGTCAATACCCAAAAGAGTTGAAGGATTAAAGATATTTATAAGGGCACAAAAAAAAAAAAAAAAAAAAAAAAAACAGCTCTGCTAACTGGGTCTTTCCATTTCTCTTTGAGATCTAATTTACATGTCAGTATTATTTTAACATTTGCTACAGAATCCAGAGCTCTTAATGAGATCAGAATACAACTGACAGCTTCAGCTTTTTGATTCTGCAGAATGTGCTAATTTATGGATAGTCTCTTCTAAATTGAGAAAAAGGGATTTTCCCTCCTGATACTGAGAAGCTATAAATATTTTCATTTACCTTTACCCCCACCTTTTTAATTTTAGAATGAAAACAGCCCCTCTCATCCCTCCCAAAATTAGTTTTTCCCAGTGCCCATGATTTCTCTCGGATGGGAAAACTAAGATGAGACTTAATTTTCATCCTGAATCAAGTCACTGCAGTGATGACCCAGTATGAAAAGCTTAGAGCAGCGCTGGGGGCTTGTGTCTGGCTGGGACTGTGTATTCCTAACTGCAGAGCTTTGTTGAGATGCAAATAACCACCCCCCCAACCCCACCCCAAAACCCTCCCAAAGAGTAGCGATTTTATATTTGATTTCCTTTTTTTGTTTTGTTTTGTTTTGTTTTGTTTCCCCTCATAAACCCGAACAATGTAGGTGTCTAGTCATATACAGGTCTTAGCAAGAAAGAAAGTTCGAGAAATTCAAGCCGCCATTAAGGTACGTCTGGCTTGCCCACTTGTAGGGGGCTTTTCATCTCCATGGTTACAGGCTTTTCCTTTGTTTTCCTCCCTTCCCCTACCCTGCAGGTGTCTAGTCACATTCAGGTTCTTGCCAGAAGGAAATCTCGTGATTTTCATTCCAAGCTAAAGGTATGCGCTTTTCTGCTTTTTGGCTTGTGGTTGCTATGCATCTCACTTCCTGTTTTCCATGGTGACTGGTGAATGCCTGGTGCTGGGATTCTCGTAACCTAGTTTCCTTGCATGTGAGAGCTGTTTACATTTCTTTGTGTTTAATCTCTCTGTTTCTGTACTAGCCTCACATTAAACTCAGTGTGTGCGAGCGCGTGCGTTTGTTTGCGTGTGTGTGTGTGTGTGTGTGTGTGTGTGTGTTCCTAATAACAATGCAAATGCAGCAGAGAGCTCTTCTTGATAACTTTTCAGCACAGAAACGTGATTTTTTTTTTTTAACCTTCAGATGCCCACCAAGCAGCCCTGGGCTAGAAAAACTTAAAAAAAAGAAAAGTCCAGAGATGCAAAATTGAGTAGAAATTCTTTAGAATCATTTCCAAAGTGGTCATGAAATTACCTTTTTAAAAAATTTAGAAATTATTTTAACTCATGCTTTTGATGTATTTTTAAGAAGACTTATAAAAAATACGTCTTTTTCATGCATGTCTCTTCCTGCAGAGTATGTTCAGCGAGATTTCTTCCACATTGCTTACTACTGTTTTTTAAGTGAACGGCACTCTTATTAAGAGAGAAATCTGAGGAGTGGCCTTTAAAAAAAAGATAGATCTTAGAGATGGAAAAGCTCTTGATCAAACCCATTTGCAGTTTCATTTGTACTTGAGTTTACTTACATGTTTTTTTTTTACTTGTACCTCATTTTTCAGTCTCAAAATATATTTTATAGGAAAAATGGGGGCATTGATAATTTTTTATATACAGCTTCTTTCTTTTTTCCTTTATAAAATTTACAATAAAACATACCTGACTTTTATTTTTCTATAGTGCCCTATTTTAGAAATGCGAAGGGATTATAGTTTGCAAGGAGGAGCCTTCGTTTATTATAAAAATTGATTTTGGCCCATATTGATAACTTTCCCATGTGCCTTTTTTGGTTCTGTTCTGATATTTTTCTATACAGTAACTAAATTTGTGGTTTTGTTCTGAACTAAAAAACAGTACAGTTTCACAACACTTGAGTGGTGAACACTGGGACTCTTCCCAAAGTCCTTCTACTTTTTTTTATGCAAACAAGGCTGGCTGTGGAACAGGACAAGTGATTAGGAAGGAGCATTTGGTGTGCCCTCTGCAGTGGGCAGCATGCTGGCTCGCTCGCACGTGTGGCTGATGGTGGCTGGCTTTTAGCTGCACTGGCTGAGCAGTTGGAAGACTAAGATAACTTTATAGATCCTGCTTTTTAACCAAAGGTGCAATACTCTCTATATGGATGTAACTACCCTAGTTTTTGCTCAAGTTCTGACTCTGTTTCTAGTTTCTCTGAGCTAATGAATTAATGATGTACAAAGAAGTTTACAGATAACAATGTTGTTTCCATCTGTGATGATATGAATTGCTGTATTTCTGCACCGTCTGTGTGGTTCCTGTGAACTTACTAGGCACACAGCCCTAGACTGAAAGCCCTATAGGTGATGAATAAAGCTCTTCTGTTCAGAAGGGATTCCCATGGAATATAGGAAGCAGTCTTTTTCTCACTTGGTGAATTTTAGAGTTTTCTTCCATAGAAACAGTTTTTCTGTTGCTTTATACATGTACATATGTAAAAATACACAGCTGTATTGATGTTTGTTTCTAAAAAATATTAACAATAATAAAAAAGAAACATTCCCTTGACTTTCAGCTCTGGGCCACTCTCTTTTGGGGCAGGCACAAGGAAGAGACAGAAGCAGAAGCAGTAGGATAGCAACTGGCTCAGCATTTAAGCTCCAAGAACCACCTCCGTCTTCTTGTAGTTTCTTCCCTTCTTTCCTACCATATTGTCTTGGAAAAATGGAGTCCTTTGTTTTTCCATCTGCTAACACCAACTGAGTGTTCCAGGCATGGTGCTCACTGTGATGGGCAGTTAACAGCCAATCTCCTATTCAGGGAGCTGGCCATGTAAATGGGAATGTAAACTAGAGGAGCACTTTGGGTAAGTGTTAGCAGGAACAGCCGAAATGAAATGTGGGGTGCAGGGATGAGCTTCCTGGGGAGTGTACTGTTACTTTTGGGAATTGAAACAGGAAAGACAGCCTAATGCGTGCTCCCTCATTTAAGCTCACTACAGTATTCTGTTTTGGGGGCATGACATTGAGGAAACGGGGGCTGAGAGAGTATAATTGACTAGTCACAAAGCCTTCCTAGTAAGTGGTGAAGCCAGGATTTGAACTCAGATCTTTTTGCACCCTAAACGAATTTTTTTTTTAGATAAAATTTTATCTAGTGGAGGTGGGCAAATGTTTTCAAGCAGAGGGCTTCACGCCAGCACACTGTACCTAACCTGTCATCCCTCACAGTCTTTGGGGCTGGGCATTCAGCCTTTGCTACCAGCCCTTCACTTGGCATCCACATTTTAACTTTGAGCCCTTGGTCAAAATGTGGACTTAATTTGGGTTGGTGCTGTGAGGGTCATCAGTAACTGGGGGGATGATATGGTCCTGGAGACAGAACTGCTTGTCACTACTCTGAGGGCATTAGGACAGTCACAGAGAGGGAGGCTGGCTGTCACCTGCTTGCAGGAGTTGGTGCTGCTTTCACTCCCTCCATGAACATTTTATCTCAAAGACCACATACTTAGCCTTCCTAACCAGCCATTACCAGGATATGGGCTCAACTCTGTTGGTGTCCCAGCTCCATCCATACCCCCTTGTTCAGCTCTGGAGTCTAATAGCACATTTGTGAGGAGGCAGGGACAAGCATCTTTACCAAGGTCATCATGGGGTCAGGCTGATAGCCATGGTCTTTTTGGCCTCACATGCTAGCTAATGAGATAAACTCGCTACAGAAAATTGAGGTCATCCCAAAAGACAACAAGGATAGCTTCTGGGTGGGTGGGGAGCAGGCGGTAGTGGCAGGAAGTATCCAAGCTTAAAATAGACACTGTGCTTTGCCTGGGAAGATGTAGAAAGGCCTCCTGGAGCAGGTGGCTGGTGGCTGACCATCCCAGTAACTACCCTTGCAGGCACTGCTGTAGCCAGGCTGGTCACCACTTCTCCACAAACTCAGACATGAAAGGGGTAGACAAAGGTCTGTGCTTCTCGTTTGAAGACCAAAGCCAGGCTTGCATTTGTCTGTCCCTCTGTGGAGTTGGAAAAGTGGCTTACCCACAATGGAGGCCACTGCCAGGTGTGTCTTCCTTGTGAACCTTGTTGCTTATATGCTTCTCTTTACTCCAGGGAAGGATGTAGCAGAGTTCTTTGGGCTGGTGTTTTCTAGCCTTTTTAAAGTAGCAAAACTCATGTTTCTAATTGAAACTTTCTCTCTCAAATCCTTAGTAATGGCCTCTTGGGCTACTCCATTGAATCAGGTTTGAAAAACCACCTGTTATAGGCAGAAGGAAAAGGAGGTGTCTACCTCCTATGCTGTCCCTTCCAGCCTTTACAGACAGCTCCTGTGTCCCATTTAAAGTCCATGTTTTTAAGTTCTGTAGTTTCTAAGTTCTGCCATGTTCCTCGGAAGAAAACAGACTCCAGGAGAGAGTGGTCATTTTGATGTCACATTGATAGATAAGTCATCCTAGCTACAAAAGTTACTCTTCTGGAAATCTGTTAGAATAAATTCTAAAGGTCAGCTTTATGCTTCTGCTAATTGGCAGTTGTTCTCAATGTGCTGTTTGTGTACTAGATCACCCCCAAAATGTGTAGACTTAAATTTTAGTAAAGAAAAAAATCATTCTAGTGAAAGTCTGAGATTTCTACATAGATTTGAACTTGAAAGGCATAGGAATGATTACTGAATTCAGTCCAGTGGTTTTCATTGAGAACTCAAGTGTGTTCTAGGTCCTTTTGTAGATGTTGGGCAGTAGAATTGAATCCAGAGTTTGTGTTCTTGAGGAACGCTGAAATTTTCTGTTATTTTTTCCAGTGGGTATCCACAGCTAGGGGGCTCTGCAGTAGAAATTAAACAGGATAGTGCAGAGGCTGACCAAGTGAAAAGAGTGATTCATTCTGAAAGTGAGGGAATTAAAGAAAGCTTCATGGAGAAGTGTCGTTAGAACTAAACATAGTTGAAGTCAGAGAATTTCCATAAAGTTGGGACTATCTGGGGGACGATGAAGAACATTGTGTAGTTGGGGGCATACGGAGGGAGGTAAGACTGGAGGAGCCTAAGGGAAGGGCCCTTGATCATCCCACTGAGGAGCAGGGATTCATCTGTGGGCCTCAGGGCGTACACAGGGCTCATACAAATTAACACTCTGAAAAGACCTCACCAGCCGGGTTTTGCAGGATAGCTAATAAGAGGGAGGCCAAGCCGGAGTCAGGAAGGCTAATTCCTGGACTGCTTTAAGAGTGGGGAAGAGAGTCGCAGGCCAGGACCAAGGGCCAACCCACACCCTCGGGGCTGCTCTGTGGCACTTAGCACTCATCCTTGGCTGGCTCCCCGCTTCAGTGCTCTCTGCCCGCTCTGTAGTCTTTTCTACTCTTTGTATTTAAAGAATAAATTATAAGTTCTGTCCTTATGAAGTCTGAAAAGTGCTCTCTGCCCGCTCTGTAGTCTTTTCTACTCTTTGTATTTAAAGAATAAATTGTAAGTTTTGTCCTTATGAAGTCTGAAAAGTATTGTGTGCCAGAATTTTTCAGAAAGATTTTCAATAGCAGCATTTAAAAATTAACTTATTAAAAGTTGGATTTTCTTAATAGTAATTAACTAGGAGTGTGCATCAAAATTAACTATGAAGTTTTTGTTGCAAAATCTTAAATATACAAAATTTAAACAGTACAGAGAATATCATATTAAACACTCATGTTTATACTATCTGGAATTGATCATTTTCATTATGTAAGTTTTTTTTTTAAAACGAAAAATCAAGTGGCAAACATTATTCTGTACTTTTTCCTCTACCTACCCTCCTTCTTCAACTAAAATTAATCTTTCTTTCCTACCCCCCACAGTGTCTTTCCTTGCCATTTATTTCACTTAGAAAATCA